GTAGATTTGGACGTTCTCTGAGCCTTCCTTCTCTGTTGCACCTCTTTGGCATGATTGCAACCCCGATAATTGGCGGCATGGGGCTTTTCTCCCTCCGCCATGTGTTGTAGCTCCGTCGCTCTCGGCTTATGTATGTGTTCTGCGGACCGGATACGAGACACCATTCGCCAAGGTTCGGTCTCACTTGTTCGGCAATCCGTTGCTTCGGGAACGCTCTCTATAGACTACTGCTGTAACGTGTTTCGTCTCGTCCGTTGGTACTCAACGGCCTTCTGTTGTTCATCTCCGGGGAAACGCGTTCGTTGTTTCGGCACTGTCTACGCAACGGCCCACTGTTATTGCGTTGCCATGGAAGTATTTACTCCAAACACGTTACAATATTAATCGCATCAGTTGTAATTATTTTTTAAAATACTATCACGGATAAACTAATTTGAAGCCTACGACCGCGAAACGAGCAACAGGACAACAGACGTTGCTAGGTAGCAGATTCTTAACAAGCAACAGTTCATATAGAACAATAGAGGAACTGTCGGAAACTGTGCTTTCAGCAGTTCCCCTTTTGTTCGAGTTGCTCTGTTACAGCTTAGGGGACGGTAACTGCATTTGTCCTTGTTTCTCGTGTCGTGTCCCCAGTCTTCCCCTGGTGGACTGGGGTGTCCAAGCTTTTAACGTTACTCAAGAAAAGTCCGTATCTCCAAAATATCAATTTAATAAGAGTAAATAATATCAACACCGGTCACGGTAGCTGAGCGGTCTAAGGCTTGTACTGTCTTCGCTCGCTTGGAAACCGGGATCATGGGTTCGAATCTCACTCAGGGCATGGATGTTTGTGTACATGAAGAAGCCTTGCGACGAGCTGATCACCCGCCCAAGGAGTCCTACTGAATGTGTAAGATCTAGAAAAACAGAAGTGAACGGAGAAGTTCATGGAGGTAGGCCTAGGCCCGCTGGGGCTGTAGTGCCAAGGGAAAAGAAAATAATATCAACAAACAAATTAATTATGCACGATAATCACCAAAAACAAATAATGTAATAATTTAACTATGAATCTGCCTCATTGGCAAGCAATAAATACATTAGAATATTAAAATATATTAGAATATACCCCGACAAATTCGGTCTTTTCAGGCAGAAATCTCAGAAAACAACGGACCTCGCAACTCGGAAATGCTGATCCATTATTACAATCGAACAGAAACCAGAATGGGACAATGGAAGTCTACACATGTATCAAACAAGCTCTAGCAAAAACCTTCATTGTGTTTTCAAACTCAGACACACAAAATGGGGCAATACAAGCCGAACCTTTAATACATTAAAGTCCCAGGAGTATCCATGTTGCAACGCTCCCGACACACACGTTCAAACAATACAGTCCCTCGCACTCAACTGCCGGAACATCCAAACAGAATTTAAGAACGCGCAACCTAGACAAAATTTCACCCCTACCTCACTGACCGCTGGAAAACGAAAGACAAGCTTCCAACCCTCCATACCGAGACGAAGTATTTACAATCAGAACAAATGGAGGAAGGGGAAAATCTTGTGGCACCTTGGGAATGATGGGATTATGTAAAGAATGTATGTATGTATGTATGTAATGACAAAGATGCCTCGGAGAAAGGGGGGGTACCGGACCAAAAGGGCCACTCTTCGAGACATCAGGTAGAACATGGCTCAGTAGTTCAATTGTTGATTGTTAAGGATCTGCTGCTAACAAAGGCCTTATAAGCCTGTGCAATTAGCACAGAAACTGAAGTTTCTCCACTGTTATAATCCGTTACGAGGAAGCGTCTAGTGAAGGCCGATAAGACTTTATGTGTATTGTAGTTACAGTGGTATCTACAGTGTGTCAAAGTCAAAGACACATTGCGACTAACGGACACTCAGCCAGTCAATCTGGCCCAGTCTGGGGCTGATGAGCAGATATTTATTAATGTTTGACAGTTTAGGTCTTGTCATTGTGGAACGCCCTCTCTGATAAGAAGAAGGGTCTGTCTTTTGTCAGAGTCATTGTCTATAGTAGTAAGTCATTTGTCATATTGTAAAGGATATTTACATTTTACAGGTTAACATGATAATAAATGTACTGAGCCCAGGCTAAGTACAACAGATTATGCCATATTTCTAGTAGCTTCCGCTACAACGGCAGTCTAGTCACTTTGACGGTCGTATGCTTGACCACCAAGTTTAAGCATTTTATACTTTCTATGTCGGGATTCTTCTTGCCCAATACAGCGAACATTTTCGTTATCATGATTTTATATGACTTCTGCTTGTTGCCTGCACAATTTTGTTATCATATACATACGGAATTTTGAAAGCCACATGTAAATCGCCAATCGGCGAGGGACTTGGAAAATTGCCAGTGGTCGGAGAACCTTGTTTTGCAGGCGCTGAAATTTCATTAGACGGGTACCTGCCGCGAATTCCCAGGCGGGACTAGTATAGTTTTCCTGTTGTGGACAGGAGGCTAATCGGACGTAAATGTTGAGGGAATTTTGAATCCTTACCTGGTTCCGGTAAGGTTATGACTTTTGCTTCTTTCCAAGAGCTTGGAAAATGTGACAGTCTGTGGCAGTGATGAATAAATGGGTCAAACGTACCAAAGGTCGTCTTGAAAGATGCCTGAGGCATTCATTTGGAACGCCATGAATTCCGCAGGCCTTTCTCAATGTCAAGGAGTTTATTAGTTCCTGTAAGTCACATGGTCTTATCATCTGAGGGGGCTGTTGTCTACGTCTTCGAGTAGAGCTTGAACTCTAGCCTCTACCCGACGTTCATGGCTTTCATCACGCAGAGGATGTAGTGTGAACTGAATTTCTAAGCAGTTGGTGCCCTCGGTCCATCACTTTAGGAGGGATTTCGCAATGGGCCATATAGCCTGAGGTGTGAATTCAGAGTTACTTATCTTTGTCTTCAACCATTCAAGTGCCTATTTACGGGTCATTCGCCTAATTGACTTCGTGACCAAATTAACTGCTGTTTTGTAGAACACAGTATCCAGCACATCACCATTTCCCCCAGTGGAATAATGAGTGGAACACTGTGGTGCTGAAACTTCAAATTAATTCGAATCAAATAACTCCATGAGTTTCTCGCCTGAAGGGTTTGAAATCGCACTATTCCAAAATGGGGGCTTAGCATTCTGATCACCTGCTAGAATAGATTTTCGTTTAAAGGAGCTCAGTGATGTCAACATCATTCCAGACACGACCTGGTGATTTATAAACGGCTGCAAGTAGAACTTCACTATTACCAACTGGTACGCAGACCCCTGTCGCTTCTGCTGATACAAAGAGGTGGTAAGTCTACATGGTTGTGGGGAATGCCTTTCCTAACTAACACGGCAGTTCCACTTTTCCTGCCCGGGTAGCGATCGGTTCGATAAAAGTGATAATTTGGAATAAAGAACCTCTCATGAGATTTCAAATGTGTCTCTGGAAACAGAGTGACATCTACGTGCAGGTCTTTCCGCTGTTTACTGAGCACATAGCGCTGCCTAGCAATGCCATTCGCATTAAATGCTATGACTTCCAGGGGCCTACGAATTCTAGTGGCCATTTTGCTCCATGAGATTTAAGACAATTCTTGTAATGGCCAATATTTTAGCCTCCTCTAACACAGCACCACTAGACCCTGTCATAATCTGCTCTACTACCGTTACTACTATTTTCAACATTTTGTCCAGAGACAAACTGTTTACATTTGGGGCCCGAACTGACTGACCTGTTGTCTGCTGTTCTTGTTGGGGCAAGGACGCAGGAACCCTGGGTTCCATTATGGTTGGATCTGCCACTGCCACCTGACGTGTCTGAGGTTGCCATTTTTCTCTGTCTTGCCTCGGAGCGCCGCCGCGAAGGACACGTCTGGAGTGGTGAGATTTGAGAAGAACACCCTTCCTGCTGTAGCCCTCGGTATCCTCTGCGACTTCTTTTCCTGCATCTCCGCCTTCGCGTGTCTGCAGCCACGACAATTTGCGGGATGAGGTTTTTCTCCTTCCGCCAACCGACAGTTGCGGCATGTTTGTGTGGAATACTTATTCCCTTTCTCAGGGCATTCCTTGTGCAGGTGACCGCCTCCGCACCACAAGTAGCGGGAAGGTTGCTTTCAGTTTGCCCAGACGTGGCCGAACTGATGTCAGTTATGGCGCTGCGTAAGACCATTCTAAGGTTTGCGTGTCTCTACCCGCTATGTTGGTTCATTGAGACTCATATATTTCCTGTGTTAAAATCAGTTACCAGGAAACGTCTACTGAAGACGTTTCCACCAATTCCTCTATTGTCGTAACTTAACTACTGAGTGTTAAGATTCGGCTGTCTAACAACGGCCGTATATTCGTGTGTAATCAGCACAGAATCTGAATAATCAAACAAACGCCGTGACTATACCGCGAACTATACCGACCGAGCGACCGCCGCTTGTCGTTGAAGTTAGTGCCAACTTTTGCGGATAGAGGGTGTCGCGTGGTCAGGGCAACGGATTCCAACGGCAGTTAATCTCGGTTTTCTAGACCTGAAATAGCTCCTCAGTTATCCTCACGATGCTGAGTGAACCCCGTTCCAGACACACTACTTCTCAGAAAATCTGGTAGCACCAGGAATCGAACCCGGGATCTGTAGCCAGGAACTGCGGACACTAGACCACAGAGAGACCACCACTGTTAAAACCCGTTACCAGAAAACGTCTAATGAAAATTGAAAAGACTTTGTGTGTACTGTATTTACAGTGATATTTGGAGTATGAAATTCCGGGAGACTGTTATAATTGCTGTGTTTACAACAATTCTTCTGTTGTTGTAGCTTAACTACTAAATGTTAAAATTCGACTGCCTAGCAACGGTCGTAAAATCCTGTGCAGTTAACACAGAATCTGAACAATCTCCACTGTTAAAATCCATAACCAGAAAAGTCTAGTGAAGACAGAGAAGACTTTATGTTTACTATAGTAACAACGATATTTGTAGTGTGTAATTCAGTGATACTGTTACAGTTACTGTGTTTACAACAATTCTTCTGTTGTTGTAGCTTAATTACTGAATGTTACGATTCGGCTGCCTAACAACAGCCATATATACCTGTCTAATTAGCAGAGAATCTGAATAATCTCCACTGTTAAAACCCGTAACCAAGAAACGTCTAGTGAAAGCAGAGAATACTTCATGTGTACTGTAGTTACAGTAATATTTGGAGTGTATAATTCGGTGATACTCTTATAATTACGAGTCATAAACATTCATCAGACTCAGTTACTAATCCAAACGCCGTATCTAGTGATTAAGACGTGATATCTTCTGTCAGAAGTAGTGAAACTCAGCAATGAATGCCTGGGGTTCCGGGCAGAATGAATTTAGAGGAACACTTCAAGCAGCTGGAACTTCAGCCACTGTGGCACCTCAACATTACATCACATTGTTAGTTAATGGCTCATACGCACACCCGGTTACTTTGCAGAGAGTACAGCCCACTTATGTGCCGTTTGTACAGGACTCACGAAACCAGGCCTACTATGCGAGAACCGATGTACCGATATCATACCCACAGCACATGGTAAGGGAGCCTGGGGCTAACTACACCACACAGCATGGCCAGTACTACCCCGAGAGCACCACTGCAGCTATATACAGAAATATGGTGCGTGATTTAATGCAAGAAACTACTGCAGACCAGTCGCTTCCTAAGGATAATAGTGCTTACCTCATCCAACAAGGTGTCCGTCAAGATACTGCTCATGAATCCATTGGAGCACAAAGCGTTAATCTACAGGCAAAAAAAGGTGATGCTGTCAACGTGAAGAATATTCTACCACGGAATACAAACGCTGATCCTTCTTCTCTGTATGGTGATGGGCATCGTGAATCCTCAAAAACCACCATCACCTCTCCAATCACTGTTCTTTGGTTGATGCAAAACTACGAGGGAGCTGAGGGTATGGCCCTTTCTTTTTCTACAGTGTACAAACATTATCTCAGTCACTGCAAGGAAAACAAATTAAGGCCTGTTAATCAGTCTTTATTTGGGAAGCTCTTCCGTTCTGTTTTTCTTGGTTTGAAAACCAGAAGAATTGGTACAAGGTTTAATACCAAATATTATTATTATGGGATCCGTGTAATTCCCGGATCAGCATTAAGTAATCTGTCAGAAGACCCGAAGTCAGCTGTTCACCAACAAACATCTTCGGAGGATAACAATTCAGTCCTGTCACGCTCAGATAACTGTGGGAATGGTACTCAGAATATAGACAACCAGTATGCGCAATATATCTATAATTTAGGCAGCTCTGATAACGCCTATTCGTCAGAACAGTATCCACAACAACACCAGTTCATAGGCCAGCCAGAAGCTATGTCCAATTTTCCGGATACAACATTTCCTTTAGGATCTGACCTACCTGATGCGGATAAACTATTTGGATAATGATCCTATTTCATCATTTCTACAGAGAACATTGTGCAGCATTCTTGGATGCAGTTGTGAGCATGGAATTCCAGACAGCTGAGTTTGTAGAGAGAATTCTGGAGAAACCAGGATAACAGAAATGACGAATGTGAAGACAGATATTTTCCCCAAACGAAGCTGTATTTGTTATACAAGTGTGGGCCAGTTCAAGATTTTTTCCGGCTTGTGTATTACATGTTCAGTCAGAATTTAGTGAAACACGAGCAATTCGCAACTTTGCAAATGGACTGAAACCGGGTCCAACAGGAACCATGACACATTGCCCTGAGGAAATTAGTGAAAGTGTTAACTGTGAGTGCTTTGGAGCAGACTTTACGGCGCTATATCTTATAAACCTTTTGGATGGAGCTGAACTTGCTGTCCTTCGGAACTCCTCAAAGATAGACAGGATGTTGGATGACCTCAATCCAGTTGACTTTCGTAGTATACGATCGTACAAGAACAGGCATCATCGGTGTGACAGTGTGAAGATAGTTTGGTGCCACAACAAGAAGCGCACTTCAACAAGCCTCTATATCAGCATAATTAATTGGATCTGTTGGCAGCCTGGCTGAAAGTTTTCGTTACACATGTCCTGGAACCGTGTGAAGAGAAAGCAAACTTTGTTAAGGCTTCAGCGGAGTTTTTACTCAGTTGGTCATCCGTAGTCCAGAAAGCTTTGGCTCCTTTCATCTGATCCGTGAGCTGTATGAAGAACACATATTGTTCCTTATTGAGCACAAAGTGGGTTTAGAGACAGAGGAGTCTTCTATTGCGGTCATGGGAAGAAATACAATGAATTGTGTCCAATGTCAACTACTTCATCCAAGCGAAGTGCTGCAATGAGGATGTGTCTCTTATAATAGGAGTTCCTGCCACTATTGGAATGAAGATGACTACCAGAATCCCGATTGTTGGAACTAATGAAGTTAGCCACCATACACAGGGAGAGGGAACATCCCCTCTGGAAGCCGCTACCAAACAACGGCTAGTGAAAACAGTATCAGACTGAGAAGACCTACTGTGTCCGTCCCATAGTGACTTGTAAAGTGTAGTAAGGAGTTGTACAATAGTTTAATAAATCTGATTACAGATCCGAACTCCATCTATAGTCACTTAAATCATGAAAATATCATTCCTCATGAACTTTCCCCTCCCCCACCCTTCCTGCCCCCTTCGCCGTTTTTTCTTGTTTGTGGTTTATTTCAAGACAGTGCCTTTGCCTCGGGAAGTGTAGGATGACTGTTGAATAATTAATTGGTAAGTGTCTAGAAGGAAGCAGCCGTAGCCTGGTATTTGACAAGAGGAAACAAAAAAAAAACACGAAAACCCTCAGTCGGAATAACCGATGCTCGAATCATCGGCGTACAGAATAAAAGCGTACAGCTTTACGTCTGGGACGCTATATCTCCCCATTTCGTAACTTCGAGCTCTGCTCGAGGTTTTATTTTTCCTTTGATAGAAGGAAAATTGGGTTATTTCCTCCTCGATGAACACATGTTTTCCCGAAGTAAAACAAGTGAGTCCCCTTTTCACCACATTCTTTATGAAATTATTTAGCGATCTTTTACCTGAAGGTTTTGTTTTACGTTAGCGACTTGAAAATTCATTCCATTGTCTGGAACTTGAATACAGTTACGTGCTTATTAAAGACTCAGAAATTGCGCACATCTGCTCCTCCTAACCTTAAGACAGGGTGATTGTTTCATGCTCGGAGAAGCAGGTGCGGTGGCTTTTGTAACCAGCGAGATTTCTCATTAAACCATAGAATAGTACATCATCATTGAGGACTGTACAACTTACGGGCCACATGCGGCTATCTGTCTGGTTTTGTACGACTCGTAAGAGTGTCCTTCTATTCCCCACAATACAGTGTGTCCACAAAGTCCCTTCGGGGTTTGAAAAATTGTGGCTCGCAGACAAATTGAGCTAGCCACATGCGGTTTGCCGCAGGTCATAGTGAAATTGTGGAAGGTTTCGGAAGTTTTCTTTTGCCGCTAACAGATGGCATAAGCGGCCATTTTACGTTTCTCAGTCAGTTGTTTTTGAAATGGCGACTATGCAGGAACGCACGCGTTGTGTAGGATGGCTTTCTGAGACCAAATCAGTCACCCAGACTCAACGAAATTACCGCACACAGTTCAATAAGGAACCTCCGAGTGACAAAGCAATAAGAGACTGGCAACGGCCTTTCCTAGAAACTGGGAGCGTCCATGATCGCAAGTGAAGTGGCAGACCGGCTGTAACGATGAATGTGTGGAAAGAATCCGTGAATCGTTTGTACGAAGCCCTACAAAATCCACAAGTCGAGCTTCGCGTGATTTGTTACTCCACGTTCAACGAAACACAAAGCACTACATAAGAGGGTGAGGTTGTGTGCATAAAAGGTTCAGTTAGTGAAACAGTTGAAACGTGCTGATGGCATGCCACGTCAACATTTCGTAGGAAAAATGCTCGACCGCATTGACCTTGATGTGGACTTCTTGAAGAAATCATGTTCACAGACGAGACAACATTTCAATGTCTCGGGTAAAGTTCACAGGCATAGTGTGCGCATTTGGGGCACTGAAACCCCAGATGTTGTTAGGGAACACATACGCCATAGTCTGAAAGTGAACGTGTAGTGTGGTGTAATGCATGGCCAGGTTATTGGATCCTTTTTTTTTTTCAAGAGCAGACGATCAACATGAACACCTACCTGGACATGATGCAACTGTACGCAGTGCCACAAACTGAGCACCTGCATCACTCTGCAAAAAGATGATGCTCCACCTCATTGCGGCCTGCAGGTCCTAGACAGGACATTTCCAGGAAGATGGATCGGCAGAGACGGTCCAATGCCTTGGCCTCCACGTTCACCAGACCTAACATCACTGGACTTTATCCTCTGAGGTTATATCAAGAGCAGTGCGTTCCGAACACGTTAACGGACTTGATGACCTGAAGACCCGCATCAGGAATGCGATCTCGCCTATTCCAGCGGACATGCTCCACAGAACATGGCAAGAGCTCGAATATCGTCTGGACGGTCTCCGTGCTACCAAGGGAGCCTACATCGGGACCTATTGAGGCCAGTAAAAACTTCCAGAGTTTCACTATGATCTGCCACAGTTTTTCAGAACTCCGAAGGGACTTTGTGGACACACTATATGCGTGATTTCCTCCTCGTTAAAGGATGCAGCTAATCTTGTAACCCAGTAAAGAAATATAAGAGTACAAATATTGTTATATGTAGACCCGCTTCTAGGTAACGCTCGAAATACGCTAACGCAACAGTAGAAAATGGATTGCAAGAATTATTTTCTACGTGATCCACCCCATGCCCATTGCTAGGAAACGGACCGCTAAACATATTCCCTCGACAAAGGAATACTATTATTGCTAGGCAACGGCAAGGTAAACATGCCTTCGAAACAATAGAGGTAGCGGAGAATGAGAATTGAAGGAGTACAAAGGAGTACAAGGAGTTAGTGCGCGAAAAGAAGACTTGATGTGTGCTGTAGTTAGAATGACACTGTGAATACTTACCGTGTCCTACTGATTTGTGAAGTGGAGTGAATACTTACCGTGTCCTACTGATTTGTGAAGTGGGTATATTAACGATAGCGCTATAATTCATTGTGATTGAAATTATAAAAGAAGTTGTTAATGAATCCAATCATCCAATCCCGAACCGTTATTATTGGTGACAACCATAAATGCATGACAACATATAACCTTGATATCGTTGCTTATTAACTGATGAATCTCTTTCCCACTCTCTACTCTCGAGAGAGTAATATCTGCTCTTGTAAAAGAGAATGTTCGACAGTAGCTCTCGCATAAAAAATGTCAGAGTGGATGTAGGATTTAAGCTTCTCACAGCTATAAAGTGTTCTGTCTTCTGGAATATAACATCCCGTGGTCATCCGAAAATCAACCGACATCTCGGAGGAACATGTCGCCTCCATCTTCAAGCTCGAATAATGAGCCAAAAAAAAAAACATCATGAAGTATGTAGGAAGGACACAGAAATTGGAGGCGACTTGTTCCTCTGAAACGTCGGTTGATTTTCAACGGACTACACAGTGTTATATCCCACAAAACAGAAGTATTTTATTTCAGAATGGATGCTTATTCTGTTTCGCCAGAAGCATATTCACTGAACGTCTACGTTCTTAATGTGTAACATTTTAATATTCTCACGTATAGAGGGGTACGCCTGACGAAATGAAGGGATCTAGTTCGGATGATTGCATTTATTAGCACTGTGGTTAAAACCTCTTTTAGTTATAATTAGATACATGCAATACAGCGCTATCGCTGAATTACACACTTTCCAGTTCACCGTTGCACACGCACTAGGATCCTCTGTCTTCCATTAATCGTCCCCTAGCAAGGGATCTCAACACAGAAACTAGCGCTTCAAATCACTCCAAGTATTACACATAATTAAAGTCTTTCAATCACACGCCAAATCTTCACACGACGAAATTCCGCTGCTCTCACTGTCACTTAAACACTTAAACACTCTCAAATACTCCCCAATACTACTTGGTTATTCCTGGACTCTCATTATAAGGCCTTCGCACCGGCCACACAGAAAATAGTCTCTTTATTGTTGAAACGTATTTACCGAGCGGTCTCATAGAAAACGCCGCACTCCCATTGTTGCCTTGCGTGTATTCGGTCGCGAGGTGTTTCGCGGTCAGTTACCTAGCAACACTGCGTCCATCCACGTTACAATACATTAAGTTTAAATGTCTGTTTGTAAACCCCATGGATCACATTCATCTTCATGGGCCTGTGATCCACATATCTGATTTTTGTATCGGTATAGCAGAAAGGCGTTTTATTCTGTTATGCTACTCACTGGTAAAACCGCCTTCCTTAGGCGCAGTACGGCCTCTCAGTGGTCTGAAGTGAAGCTGGCCAATCACCTTCTATTGACGAGATTCAGCGTGGTGGAATTATACCTCCAACCCCCATATGCCTTGTCGTGAAACAAGGCCTCGAGGAGTGTATTCTTGTGACGTCACTTTATTACTCTTCCACGTAATTACAGTTCAACGTAATTATAACACAAAAGGTTGAAAAATAATTTTACAATCAGTCCTTTCGTGTTAACTCTCACTAGAATGTCGAACTGTAAACTCCAAAGTCAAAGTCAAAGTTACATTGCGACTGACGGTCAGTCAGTAAATATTAATTATTACTGTTTAACAGTTACGGTCTTATTTTTGTGGGGCGCCCTTCCTGACTAGAGGACGGGTCTGTCTTTTGCATATGCTGCTGGCCCTTGCCAGCGCGGTCTTTCTCGGGTCCAAGTCCCTTGGGACTCGCGACCATATTTTACTGTCTCAGCTTTGAGACTTCCCTTTTTGTCGCCTCCGGCTCGCAGGGTCACGGTGGAGGTATTCGACCCCGCCTGCACACGGGGGTGTAAACTCCAAAGTCAAAGCCACATTGCGACTGACAGTCAGTCAGTAAGTCTTGGTGTCGAGCCCCGTCTAGGGCTCATGACCATATATTAATTGTTACCGTTTGACGGTTACGGTCTTGTTTCTGTGGGGCGCCCTCTCTGACGAGAGGACGAGTCTGTCTTTTGTAAATGCTGCTGGTCCTTGCCAGCTCAGACTTTCTCGGGTCCGAGTCCCTTGGGACTCGCAACCATATTTTACTGTCTCAGATTTCAGACTTCCCTTTTCGTCGCCTCCTACGACTCGCAGGGTCACGATGGAGGTATTCGACCCCACCTGCACACGGGGTTGTAAACTCAGAGTCAGCGTTACTTTACGACTGGCGGTTTACCGCCAATCAGTTCGTCTTGGCGCCGGGCCCCTTGAGACCCACGACCAGAGATTATTTTTCCAAGTGAACTCTTGCGGTAACAGTCCTTATGTAACATCCTCTCTGACGAAAAGATGGGTCTGTCTCTTATGAATACATTCGACCTAGGGGGCGAATGGTTTCTAGCTTGGGATTGGCTATCACACGATCCACTGTTGTTGTACACCTTACATAGCAACGACTGTTTTCTCGCCGTTGTTATGCAGCGGTACCTGAGCTGTCACTAT